GGCCGGGAGTGGCTACTGCACTCTAGTCTGGGTGACAGAGTGAGACTCTAACTAAAAAAAAAAAATACACAAAACAACAACAAAAAACCCCCCAAAAATAGTAATAAAAAAATAAATAAAAGCATGCCTTTCATAGCTCTGTGACCCCAAAGGACTCTCTTCACAGTCAGTGACTGGTGAGTGAGCTCACCTCCTCTGAGTCAGGATGTGCTTGAGTATTCGGCTGAATCTGTCTGAAGTTCCAGAACAACTGGGGAAGAAAGGAAATTAGAAATGAAACACAGAACCTGGTTTTTTTTTTTTTGGGTGACAGAGTGAGACTCTACCTCAAAAAAAAAAAGCACTGGGATTACAGGCTGAGCCACCGAGCCTGGCCAGAACCCTGTTTTTAATTTCTCTTCAGGGAGGATTTTGAGTTCCTTTTGAGTCTCAAACAGATTTAATAAACCAGAGAGAGGCCGGGCGCGGTGGCTCAAGCCTATCATCCCAGCACTTTGGAAGGCCGAGGCAAGAGGACTGCCTGAGCCTGCGAGTTCGAGACTAGACTGGGCAACATGGTGAGACCTCGTCTCTACAATTAAAAAAAAAAAATTAGCTGGGCATGGTAGCACGTGCCCGTAGTTCCGACTACTTGGAAGGCTGAGGCGGAAAGGTTGCCAAAGCCCAGCAGGTCGAGGCTGCAGTGGCCGGGAGTGTGCCACTGCCTCCAGCCTGGGCAACAGAGTGAGACTCCAACTCAAAACAAAACAAAAACTAGAGAAAACAACTAGAGAGAAGCTAAATGGCCATGGCACAGTGACAAGAACAAGAGGACACCTCTAGGGAGATTTAAGGACCTATCCATAAAGAGCTTGGCCGGTTCCATATGAGAAGGGTTGAGGAGGGAGAGCACAGAAATCCCTTGTACAAGATCAAGAAAGCCTAGAAGCCAGCATGGGATTGCAAAAGAGGACACAGAGTCTACACCATGGCAAGGAAGCATGTAGCCGTGCTGACCCCGCACCTCAAAGCTCAGCCAACAAGCACACACCCGGCTCGTTTCACACACGAGTCGCTCCAAACATGATGATGGAAAACTGACCTGCCAAGCCTTGGCTTGACAGACTTGGCAGTGACTGGTTCTCTGGAGCTACACACCGTTCTGGTCATGAGGAAAAACCCTTTAGAGTACATTCACAATTCAGCTTCACACATGGGACATCCACACTTGTTGCTGTCATTATTTGGGAGGCGAAGGAAAGGGGAGAAGAAAAGAAAATGGAGATGAGAGCTGGGCACAGTGGCTCACGCCTGTAATCCCAGTACTTTGGGAGGCAGAGGCAAAAGGATTGTCTGAGCCCACAGGCTCGAGAACAGCCTGGGCAACGTGGCGACACTGTGTCTCTATAATAATAATAAAAAAAAATTAGCTGGGTATGGTAGTGCACGCCTGTAGTTCCAGCTACTTGGAAGGCTAAGGCAGAAAGATCATCTGAGCCCAGCAGGTTGAGGCTATGGTGGCCATGAGTGTGCCACTGCACTCCAGCATGGGCAACAGAGTGAGACTCTGACTCAGAAAAAAAAAAAGAAAGAAGAAAAGAAAGAAAATGTGCTTCTATGTTAAGTGCAAAGACAGAACAGATGTGGTTCTCTGGAATCTCTGACACTGCTTAGACAAGTGGTAACAAACACACGTGCCCTCCTTTGGTATAGAGAAATTCAAATGGCCAGAGGGTTTGGCAAAACACGCAGGATGCAGAGCCAGCTGGAACATGCTTCTCACCTACTGATCTCCTCGGCCCCCATGTGGAACAGTAGATCCGTGGACGTTAAGCCAAAGATCACTCCATTTATTGAGAGGCTGCAGGGCTCGGACACAAACAGGACTCGCTAAAATGAGGACGAGTTGAAACAAACATTTACACATCCAAGCTAGAAACTTCTTCCCTATAAAAGTGGAGGTGTCTGAGGGCTGGGGAGACCACTCAAAGGGGTGACCAAACCAAGTAAATTTATAAACATATTTACTTGCCTGTTTAAGAAAAAAAAAGTAGTCTTGCAGGGTGTGGTGGCTCACGCCTATAATCCCAGCACTTTGGGAGGTAGAGGCAAAAGGATTGCCTGAGCCCAGGGGTTCAAGACCACCCCTGAGCAACATGAGATCTCATCTCTATAGTAAATTAAAAAATTAGCTGGGTGTGGTGGCGTGTGCCTGTGGTTCCAGCTACTTGAAAGGCTGAGGCGGACGGATCATCTGAGCCCAACGGGTTGAGGCTGGGGTGGCCATCAGTGTGCCACTACACTCCAGTTTGGGTGATAGAGTGAGACTTCCACTCAAAAAAAGAATCTAATGCTGGGTGTGGTGGCTCATGCCTGTACTCTTAGCACTTTGGGAGGCTGAGGTGGGAGGATTGCTCAAGTCCAAGAGGTTGAGACCAGCCTGGGCAACATAGCAAGACCTCGCCTCTACAAAAAAATTTAAAAACTAGCTGGGTGTAATCCTGTAGTCCTAGCTACTTGAGAGGCTGAGGTGGAAGGATCACCGGAGCCCAGCAGGTCGACGCTGGGGTGGCTGTGATTGTGCCACTGTACTCTAGCCTGGGCGACGGAGTGAGACTCCAACTCAAAAAAAAAAAGGTTAAGATTCAGGCTGAAGGCTTCTCCACCCCCCGTTAGGGCACAACCCAGTCACTGTGGCACATTGGATTCTGGCTGCCTGCTGGTCTAGGAGGGGGTGCTGATACCTTTTTGTCCTCTCGAGAAAGATCAGAGTGGCTGAAAGGTGGCTGCGGGTACACGGGTTCGTGGTGCACATCTCTCAGTGATGGGACAAAAACAAGGTGGGCGCCGGAGCTACTTGGTCGAAAGACAAACAGAAGAGGAGAAAAATGAGGTGGCCGAGTCAGAATAGCTGGGCAACATACTGGAAGTGTCAGCGTTGGACATAGCAGTCCCATTTCCAGGGAAGCATCTCAGAATTGAACTCTCTCTCTCTTTTTTTTTAAATTTAATTTAATTTTTTTGAGTCAGAGTTTTACTGTTGTTGCCAAGGCTGGAGTGCAGTGGCACACTCCCAGCCACCGCAGCCTCGACCTGCTGGGCTCAGGTGATCCTTCTTCCTCAGCCTTCCAAGTAGCTGGAACTACAGGCATGCACTACCACACCTGGCTAATTTTTATTTTTATTTATTGTAGAGATAAGGTCTCGTGAATTGCCCGGGTTTGTCTTGAACCTGTGGGTTCAAGCAATTCTCTCACCCTGGCCCCCCAAAGTGCTGGGATCAGAGGTGCCCGGCCTAGAATTGAACTCTCTTATGAAGAGAGATGCTGCTTTGTTCTAATTTATACACATTCATCTTAGTGAGGCTCCAAGTGCCTGGGACACACTTTCTCACTGGTCTGTGGGGCATTCCACTAGGGAGAGGACAGAACTAATGTTTGGTAGAAAAAGGAAGAGCTGGGTGCAGTGGCTCATGCCTATAATCTAGGCCTGAGCCCATGGGTTCGAGACCAGCCTGGGCAACTTGGTGAGACATTATCTCTACAATAAATCAAAAATTAGCCAGGTGCAATGGCATGCGCCTGTGGTTCCAGCTACTTGGACATCAGACATCAACCACAGTCACAGTGGAGTCACCTACTCAGATGTCATGCGCTCTTGTCCAGGCATCCGTCTGTGACTTCACATGTTCAAGAGATTAAATCCTTCCAGGGCTGGGTGTAGGGGCTCACACCTGTTATCCCAGCACTTTGTGAGGCTGAAGCTAGAGGACTGCCTGAGCCCAGGGGTTCAAGACCAGCCTGGGTAACTTGGTGAGATCTTGTCTCTACAACAACAACAACAACAACAAAATCAGCCGGGCTCGCTGGCTCAGCCTATAATCCCATGCCTTGGGAGGCTGAGGTGAGTGGATTGCCTGAGCCCGC